CCGCTGAGTGCCCAGAGGTGACCGGTGATGGCATCAGCCTGTGCCAAGACACAGGGCAGCCAGCCTGCCCCAGCCCCAGGTGCTGCAGGGTGGGGAGGGGGGGCAGCAAGCTGTACCCCCCAACTCCGCAGGGCAGGGCCTCAGCCCCAGCAACCTCCACTTTCTCTTTCCCAGCCAGCCAGCACTGGTTGAACTGGTCGGACGGAGCAGCTGAGCGGGAGCCGCCAGCCATGGGCTGTGACGGCACTGACCACCCCGGCTGCGGTTCCTCCTGGCACAGGTCCTGCACCCTGTGCGGGGCACAGAGAGCTGGGGGGCCCCTGGCCCTGAGCTCAAAACACAGCTTGTAGTGCTCGTCCTGAGAGTGGTGCCCACCCAGCCCTGACAGTGTCTCTGGAGGGCTGGTGGTCCCCAGAGCCATACCAGTCCCCAGAGCCATACTGGTCGTCCCCAGCACCATGTCCTGCATCACCTTCAGCCCGTGTCATGGCTTATCTCGGTGTGACCCTCCATACCCACAGCGATGCCAGGGCAAACAGGATCTGTGGGGCAAAAAATGTGGGGCTATCATAAGCCTAATTTCTCCTGGCAAGGTAGGTGACATCGGTCGCATCCTCCTCCCACCTGGTGTCCCAGCCACTCACTGCACCACAGATACCTTTTCTTGCTGGCCCTGACATCACCAGCTCACTCCAAACTCCTGACCATCTCTTTCTCACTGCAGCAAGACACCAAGCCTGGGCTGGCAGCACCCTGTGCCATGTTCCCCACATGCCTTAAGGTGCCCTGCGAGCTGGGACCAGCAGCAAGGGCACAGCAGGGACACATCTCTGGAAGCCACTGGATCTGGCAATGACATTGTGGCAGCCTCATGCCCATCCTCAGGCTCAAGGAGGAGTTCCCCTGAGCCCATCAGTGCTGCGGCTGCTCCTTAGCAGTGGAAGGTCCCATGGGCACCATCCAGCAGCTTGCTGCTGCCCTGTGGCTCTGGGGAGGGCATGGGGACACTCCAGGAAAGGCTTATGCTTGCCCATGCTCCCATACAGTGCCTCAGCATCTCCAGGGAGTGTTCCCCACCGTGATTTTTTTTTTTTTTTTTCTCCCCATGGCCCATTATAGGGCTTGGGTTGCGGCACATCAGTTGGGCAGATGGGAAGGAAGGCCATTTCTTCAGGTCAGTAAAGCCAGAAGGTGCCTGCAGGGTGTTGGGGAGGATTGATCAGGTCTGCTGGTCTCCTGGCTCCCAAACACAAGGAGAAGGAAAGGGACAAGCTGGGCCCCAGGAGGACCCAGAGGGGTCCCAGCATGTCAGGCACACGTAAGGGGCGCTGGGGGCTGTCACCCACTGAGGGCACCTCTCCCATCGGCGGCATAGTGTGGGTGCATGGACTGACTGCAGCGCTTCCCTGGAGTCTGCTGTGGGTCTGCAGAGAAGGGAGATCTGGGAAAGTGGATGCTCAATGTGGTCCATGCCAGAAAGCCCCATCAGGCACCTGATCAGATCCCCTGGGGTGGAGGAGAGCCACGGGTGAGCTGTGCAGGGCTTGTGCAGGAAATTCCTAAATGCTACATGCTCCCTCCATCATCCCTTGGCCTGTGGCCCAGGGCACGGCACACAGCTGTCACATCCCACTCTGCTCCAGAGACACCTGCATTTCAGCAGTGAGTGGAAAAAGCTTCCCCAGGGACAGATTTCTAACCACAAGCACTGGAAGCCCAGCCAGGCGGCCAGATCCCTGGGCACAGTGGAGCCCTGGGCTCAGCCCCCAACTAAATGCAGGCTCAAGGCTCTATGTCTTCCCAGCACCGGTCCTTTCCCCAGTGGTCTTGGCTTGCCCCATGGCAGCAATGGCAGGGGTTGCTTTTGGGCGTGGGGATGTCCCTGTGCGCTGTGGGATGCTGTGCCCAGGAAACAAAAGGACCTGGCAGCACACAGCACTCGTGACTGTGCCGTGGAGGAATGAAGCTGGGGCAGGTGATCAGCTGGTGTGACCCTGTGCCTCCTGGCTGGCACGCTGGCCCTGCTTGCCCTGGGGCCACAGCACAGCATGGCAGGGCAGGGTGACGTGACAAAGGGGATGGGGCACACAGCCACCCTGCCCTCGCTGGCCCATGGGCTGAGGTAGAGCATCCATGTTTGCGACAGTCTGTCACCACCTTGTCACATGAGATGGTTTGCTGCCAGGCACCAGTTTGAAGTGAAAGGACCTAGAGGTGGCTGTGTGATGCCAGGGTCTGCCCTGCTCACGCAGTGCCCTGAGTTTTCACCAGCCCATGTGTGGCATGGATGTGGCTGTCTTGGCAAAGTACCAGCAGCGGGCAAACGGGTGCCAGTGTGTTGGCTTGGACTGGCCTAGGGCTCCTCTGCCAGCACAGGGCTAAAAACAGCATGAACATACCTAGACAGGGTCCCAAATACCCCTGTGCAAGAGCCAGAGGGGCAAGAGCCACCAGAAGGTAATTCCCCAAATGCATCCCACAACCCTGCCTTGCCCCTGGTGAGTGTACGTGTCTGCCCGTGCCAGGCACTTGTGAAATGGCAGGGAAGGGGCCATCACGACGCTGCAGCCTGTCCCAGACCACCCCTAGACAAAAATTCAACCCATGCTAACAGAGAGAGCAGCAATACTCAGGCACCTGCCTGGTCTCTGCTCCATCCCCACGCAGACCACACGTCCCCACCTGAGTCCTGCTCCCAGCATCTGCCCAGCTCGGTCACTGGGTCTTTCCTCCCGCCTTGGGAAAAGCTGTGCCTGTGCCAGATCAGGGACAGACTGAGTCTGTGCCTCAAACATGGCCAAGGCACCCACGCAAGTGCCCGCTCGGTAGGGCTGGGCTGCCCTCCCAAGCAGGGAGATGCCACACAGCTGGGTGGGCACCCAGGGCAGCATTCCCGGACCCTTTACCACAGGCAGAGCCCCAGGGAGGGATGCGCAGCCCCCCGGGCCCACTCAGGCCATGCTTGGCAGGGGGAGCCGAGTGAACCTGCTGCTGCGAGCAAACAAACATGAGCTGGGCAAACAGCAGCGAAGAAAACACCCGGTGAAGCCGGTGTGGGTGAAACTCTGGGCACCGGCAGGGCAAGGGCTCTGACAATGATTAAACTGGCCAACCCAGATTTCCCGGCAAGGCAGCGCTGGGCTGGGACCCGGTGGTTCATATTATGCAAATCACCTGGATCTGGGAGCATGAACGTTTCGGGCTGGAATTCCCCTCGGGCGGCCAGATCGCGTTACGCCGCCCGTGCTATAAAAGAGGAGACTCGGGCA